TCTTTCTAGCATAGATCTGTGGCCCACCCAATGAACGGAGTATGAAGAAAATCTATCACTGAGCTCTTTCTCTCGCTCAAGTTTTGACTGGTATCAGAAACATTTACACACAAACTACAACTACTAATATCAGAAGAAAATATAGTCAATTTGAGTTTAACAGAATTCGAACAAGCAAAAGACAAATTCATGCAAACAACGATGACAAAGGATGATGTCTCCCATACAATGCTGAAATGCATGACGTAATAATGCCAGGAAATATCTCCCCAGTTCTTGTCTGGAGAATGAACTTGAACGTTTGTTAAAACTGAATTACTATTGCTTAGAGCAACACTATTGTATTTCTCCTTCAAATTGTTGGTATAACTCAGTCCACTTCAAACATGGTCCAAGTTCACTGGCTTGAAATCGGCATATCTTATTTCTTACACAAAAATGGAGCATATACCACATTTAACAATGAAAAATGGAGATATCACTCTCAATGGAAGACGCAAAATGCAGTAGTACTTGCAACGCAGAATCACAATAACTCATAAAATTTGTTTAAAANTCTTTCTAGCATAGATCTGTGGCCCACCCAATGAACGGAGTATGAAGAAAATCTATCACTGAGCTCTTTCTCTCGCTCAAGTTTTGACTGGTATCAGAAACATTTACACACAAACTACAACTACTAATATCAGAAGAAAATATAGTCAATTTGAGTTTAACAGAATTCGAACAAGCAAAAGACAAATTCATGCAAACAACGATGACAAAGGATGATGTCTCCCATACAATGCTGAAATGCATGACGTAATAATGCCAGGAAATATCTGCCCAGTTCTTGTCTGGAGAATGAACTTGAACGTTTGTTAAAACTGAATTACTATTGCTTAGAGCAACACTAGTGTATTTCTCCTTCAAATTGTTGGTATAACTCAGTCCACTTCAAACATGGTCCAAGTTCACTGGCTTGAAATCGGCATATCTTATTTCTTACACAAAAATGGAGCATATACCACATTTAACAATGAAAAATGGAGATATCACTCTCAATGGAAGACGCAAAATGCAGTAGTACTTGCAACGCAGAATCACAATAACTCATAAAATTTGTTTAAAAGGAAAAAAAAAATCTATATAATAAGATAGCTCACAAGTTGAATTTTATCTTCTACATATTTTCCCTCTTAAAAACATCACATCACCAATTTCTATCATATGCCCAATTATTTTAATATTTGATTAATTTATAGTTTAATATAATTTTTATTTTAAATATTATCCATACACGATAGTATACATATGTTGAGAAATTTTTTTTGGATTACGTATTTTGAAAAAAAATTGTCGATATTTTTAAGAAAATAATGGATAAACATAGATTTTAAATGATGTAATCAAATAAATGAAAGAAATAAAAATTATTATTTAAAATAGTGAGATAGATATTTTTTGACGTTCAAATTTTATGTTTCATCATGCCTTTAGGCATGGGTTATGACTAGTCATTTAATATGGCTAATTTCAGCACCTTGTTGAGATATTCCTGCAGTGCCTTGATACGACCCATGTAATCCTGGTCTTCAACACACAGAGTTACAGCCTTGGCATCAGCACCTGTACCATCAAACTGAAGGGGCCCTGGGTTTCTGTAAACATCATCCATCAAAAATTTGGTTGCATTTTGTCTCAGTAACCTGTACCAAGACCAAGAAACAATTCAGCAGCAGGACAGGATCATATATCTGCAATGCATTCTTCAACTTAATTTCGAAGCAAGTCCACAAGTTGCCAAAAGTAAATGAACTCCCTTCTCAGAGGATCAAAAAATCTCTTTAGTGAAAAAAGGAAAAAAAAAAAAACACTAAAAATTTTGAATTCTTTCTGCTGCTGTGATGTCAAGCAAGCCTCTGGTAAATATTACAAAGAAACTTATGTCAAACAAGTATACAGGAAATAACAATGGAGGGACTTACTCATATGCTTTGCCTGTCAAATCGACGGTCGCAGGATGCACGGCAGGTTTCCCAATTGGTAAGGCCCCAGGACCACGACCATAACGCTTCACAGTCATCATTGCCTGAGGTTTAACAATACAATCAAAGGAGTCAAACTTTCTTGCCAGTATAAGCTCTACCGACAGACAGAAAAGGAGAGACAGTGAGCTGGCATTCAAAAAGAAAAAGAAAAACGACACAAAAGGGGATGGGTGAGGGAAGGGGAGTAAAGAAGACAATAGCAAAACCAGATCTCTACAGAAGTACTTGAAGTGTAAGGTTTGGCCATAAAAGTCTAAAGGGAGCATAAAACCCACAGTTATTGGAGCAGCACCACAACGCCACTTGTTCAAAGGATTTTTCAGGTTAGTTACAGTAGCCATATAACCATTCAGCCCAGCTGCCAGAATATGGTAGCAAATGTGCCCAAGAACCTGCAGGAATATTGTTATTATTAGTTTATTACAAGGAAACCTACTTAACATGAACAAGAGGAAAGAAGTAGAAGCAGTCCAGAGAATGAACCGAAGCATAAACTTACGTATGCGTAGTCACAATCAAACTTTGAAGGTAAAGACCCCCGAGCTTGATAGCCAAAGAAGTGGCAGATAGCATTAAATTTTTTACCCTTGTATGTTCCTTCTTTCTGTGGAATCACCACGAACATAGGAGAGTGAGGTAAAAGTAGTTCTATTCTAATATGTACACAGTACAGCATACTCGCTGAAATAAACAAGACCTAAACCCACATAACGGAAAAAATAGTAGATTAAATGGAACCAACAATGATTAATTTCCTTTGTATTTTTCAATTAGCTATAACAAAAAAAAAACTAGGTTGGCTAACATTAATAAAAACAAGATGGCAAAAACCCTACCAATCGCTTGTTCATTTCTGCTTCCACGAGATGCGCGAGGAGTTTCTCCGTCTCAATCTGCAAAACGAAATAAAAGAGTAATAATTATTATATACAGCAAATTCATAGTTTATTTTAACACACCATTAGGGTTGCAGATTTCAGTACCTGGGATAGCTGAGCAGAGTCATCTGATTCTGGATGGAGAAGCAGCTGTAACATTGAAGGCATTTCAGAGGAGCACCATTGCCCATGAAAACTACATGAAAAACTTATATCAATGTGAAGAAATAGACCTGTTTTCTAATGAAGGGAGGCAAAAATTCAAACAAAGCTGATGCCCAAGGTGACAATTGCGTAGAAATGCCATCAACAGAAACACCTTGCCTCAGCAGACCATGAATTTCCTGGAAAATACAAGTCATTATTCCAACATATTAAACCGGATTAAACAATCACACATTTCTGAAATTAAAAATAGGGAGCTCCCATTTTTGCTGCAAAAGGGAGGCTTTTCCTTTTTTCTATTCTTTTTTTTTTTTAGGGAGAAGGGGGTGTTTTGTCAACAGCCAACTAGGAATGCAGTTATTTCCTAAATGCGTGGTCTTACCTGCAAGAGAGCATAGACTTCAGGAATGCTTTCTATAAGCCCCTCGGGTAGCAGGATGACTCCGTGGTACTTATCTGTCCAAAAACATTTGGTCAGATGAAAAGTACTGCTAATCATTAATCACCACAAAGACAACAAAGATAGTAAGGCACAGATTCCATACCTTGTTCCGCCCGGGCTTGTACTGCATCACAAATCTGTTTTGTCAGGTCAAAAAGAGTAAGCTTTGATGCAGCCACCTCCTCACCAAGAATGACCTATAAAGAACAAATGAGAGGTTATGCAAGAAGAGAATCAAGCTTATCTAAAAGACGGCATCCTCTACAGCAACATCAATCAGAGTTACATAAGCAAGGACTGCAAACCATGTTTGGATGTGACTGGAGAGTGCATTCCAAAGCAACATGTGATGCCTTTCGTCCCATGAGTCGGACAAAGTAATAATACTGAAGACAAAAAGTAAATTACTAAGATTTTGTAAAAAAAAAGCATGGGAAAGGCATGCAAAACAAAGGCAGCTGGGCTGCCAAATGCGTAACAGAATTGCTTGAAGTATGCAGGGTGATTAAGGCCAGCCTTGTCACTCCATCTTTGGCTAAAAGCAATTCAAAGAACCTAAAGTAAAATGCAAATGACATGGCTTACCCAGGAGGATATAAATTTTTAAAAAATGGGGAAATTACCTTCTCTGCTGAAAGAGCATCTGTGCAGACATTGCTGATGAGCTGAGAATTAACCTAATAAGAGCCAATAAAATAATGTTATCAGATTCTTCTCAAAATCTTTCAAATGCATATAATCTCAGAATAACATCTTACAATTTCGGAATTTTTTAGTTGCGTTTTATATGAAAATACCATCCTTTGCTTTTTAGTCGCGTTTTATATGAAAATACCATCCTTTATTAAAGCAGCGGCACATAATCCAGCAAATTATATTTAACATTGGAGATAAAATGGGACAGGAAGTCTAAAACAAGAAAGAATATGATGACGACAAAACTATAATTTCGTCTGATAATGAACCCCAAACCAAGAACAAACACAGTTCCAATGCATGGATTTTTCGCCAGCATCACCTTGTCAGTAATGCGGAGAAGAGGCAGAGAGACAAGTTGAAGTATGCATAACAATGTGAAGCAGGGTATAAGCCCAATTTAATGGTGAATCATCAAAATGTGGTTCGAGGATAATAACTTCAAAACACAGTACTTGCTTCACTACAAAATTCGATTCTTAACTGAAAAAAATACATGCAAGGCATTCAATAAGCTGTTGACATCACTGGACTAGTACCTTACATATGGTATCAAAACCAACATTTGTTTCAACAAATTGGTTTTTGAGATCTCCATTCAAAGTAACAGGAATCCCAACCACCTGCAAAATTTCAACCAATCAGGTTCTCCTGTTCTTAGTTCAGAAAGAAACTACACTGGCCTGACATTACAGAGGTGTCATGATAGCTTTATGTCCAAAACCAAAAGTACTGAGGACCAAAATAAACAACTTGTGAGAAACTTCAAATTTATATATAAATCGTCGAAAATCTAGACCATGTCTTCCTATATATTTCCAAATAACCCGACGTAATAGTCACTTTGACAAGTCAACTTGATAAATTTCTAAACTTCCTGAAACATTAACTTCTGAAGGGCAGTTTTGAAAACTTATTAAATGAGATGCATCAACAGTTGTCTCCTTAACAAGTTGGATTTCCAACAAGGGACTTAAATTTTGGGACAGAGGAAGTATGAAAATGTCTTTTTCTCTTTCAGTAAGTATAAGTATGAAAAATGTCACATGAACTGGGTACCTTAGTTGGCCATTTTGCTTCTGCAAAAGTTTCAGCAAGCTGAGCAGCGTCTGTGTTTGATGTCACCCCTTTAAAAGGTACAAAATATTTACGTTAAGAAAAAATTAATTCTATATGTTGGATGTCTATGGTGACCCTAAAGCAGAGGATCAGAGATACCTCCGACAATGACAAGGCCATCCAACTTCAAATCTCTGCATGTGTTGAGCGCAGCATTGACTTGCTCAGTTGTTCTTATTTGATCTTTTGTTCTTCCCAGCAAATCATAACCACCTTGACAGGATTATAGCATAAAATAAACTTTCCTGAAAATAAAAATCGCGATCTGAAAATTAAGTACTAGTAAGTCATAACTACCTTGATTTTTGTAGGTTGCAAGAATGTCATCAGTGATCTCAAGGGTCTTTTGTGCAAATATACCTTCAGAACCACCTGGTAGCAAGCATAAAAGACTTCTTTTAGATATCATCAAACTAAGGTTGGGCATAATGTGCTTGTGACGCAAAATGCAAGAAGAAAGTGTGATTTACTGAAATGTAACAAGACAGCATCCTAATCATTGGCTAGGTGATAAGGAAACAAAACCAAATAAGAATGTGCAACAATGACTTTTTTTTCTAGATATGGGTGTGTGTAGGGGTGTCAATCGTGTCACGTTAAACGATTACGCGTCGGGTTAAACGGGTGACAGGTGAAATACGTATAAACCTATACACGACACATTTAATAAACGGGTAAAAAATTTCAACACGACCCGTTTAATAAACGGGTCACAGGACATGACTCGTTTAACCCGTTTAATTTTAAAAAAATTATATCAACAAATTTTAATATTTTTTTTTTTTTTTACTAATAATTGCATTTACTTCAAAAAAGAGGAATTTGAAATCAAATCTCATAAAAATAAGGCTTGAAGGCTTTAAAGAAAAAAGAAAGAGGCTATTGCCTTTTATAGGCAACTCACCCTCCCCATCTCCCCTCATTTTTCAATGTGAGACAAAAACAAAAGATATTAGTTTGTCTTTATTTTTAAAATGCTCTACAACTCCTCTCATTTGTCTTTGAAAAATAAAACTTAAAGGCTTTAAAAATAAAAGCAAGAGGTCATTGTCTTTTATAAGCAACTCAACCCTCCCCATCTCCCCTCATTTTCCAATGTGGGAAAAAAATAAAAGACATTTGTTTGTCTTTGCCTTTGAAGTGTATCCAACTCTTCTCCTATGTCTTTGAACTACTACTTTACTTTCTTTTTTTTTTATTAATTTCTTTACTTCTTTTTTCTTGCTAATTTTTTAACATAATTATTAATTTATTATTATATTAATTTTATTTAAACNTTCTCTCTCACTCTCCCTCTCTCTTTTTTTTTTTTTTGATGTGGACATGGTGATTAGGAGAGAAACCATGGCAGTGGGCCATACCCACTAGACTCCCTCACCTAACCCTCTTTTCGCATAGTTCAAGTTGGTTTTTAGGTGGGCTTTTCATCTCACAAGCGGATACCGACGAGTTTACTTATGTAATGCAATCGCTCAATTCATTTTAATTGTGCGTGTAGGATTTTGTATAATATAAACGTGATAACAGATTTCTTTCGTGATAAACACGAATCAGTCAATCGAATAGTCAACTTTGCTGCTTAGAATAGACCGTGAGGACCTGTGGTAGCCTGGAACAGTAATGGGTGATTTTTGTGGGTTACCGGGTGGTCCTGTAAAGCTAAAGAAGATTCCTGGAACAGAGAAAAACGAGTTAGGAGGGCGTCAGAGTGTTTTTCGACGTATCCCTTCCGACGATCAAATCAGTTCTTTGAGAGAGGGGAAGAAGAAAACACTGCGTATAGGTTTAAGAAAAGGTTTTTGAATACCTCGTCATACGTTTTGTGAGGAGTATTTATACCTTAAAAACTCATGATTACTGTCAGTATGGTCAGTAGGTGATCATTAAAGGTGGATAATGTGCATAATAATTTTTAGGAGAAATGACCTCTTTCTTAACTGCTCAGAACCCCGAGCAATCCAATGCATCACCCTCGGTCTGTTGAGCGTTTAATGACCTTCACTCGGCAGAGATATATTAAATGCTCAGTCACAGGAACATTCATTGTCTTTCACTTCCGGGTCTTCATGCATTAAATGTTGTCTCATCAAGGGAAAGGTGCATTAAATACTTGCTTTCTCAAGTCGTGTGTCAGCAAAGACATTCTGGTTTTTTTAACTCTGATCTGACACAGTACGCCACGTGCCAGCTCCCCTTTGGTTGAGTCTTCTGCTTTCCTGTGTGTCCTGACACCATCTAGGTAAGACCAGGTCATGTTGGCTAATCTAGCCTAACCCAGGCTGATGACCTGTTTATCAATAACCCTGTAGAAACAGAACGCCGATGTAGTGGGTACACCTCGGTACCGAGGGCCTAATACAGTTAGGGGCCGATGTACCCCACAAATTCGACCGAGGAATACGTGTCGCCCCGTACATACCGGCGTCATAGATCCTTATGCATAGTACCCTCCTCAGGGGAAGAGGGATCATGATCTGACGAGCACGTGTCGTGATCACAGCAGAGAGTATTTCTTTGACACCGAGTACACGTGTCGTCATCTTGAAATGTCCAAAAAATGTCCCATCATTAACTTTAGTTAAAAATGAATTAAAAATTACATTTATTTCTAACCCACTCTTTTCTAAAATGTTCATAGAATGCTCTGCATCATGAAAAATAAGCACAAACTGATGTGGCTGATTTAGAAAGAAAAGAAAAAACATATGGATATTTTTCCTTTGAGATCAAAGATGTTTCCTTATCTTCCACTGTTCTGCCTTGTTTGCTTTTACCTTCGTCTGTATCGAAACGAATAATAANTCACACATTTCTGAAATTAAAAATAGGGAGCTCCCATTTTTGCTGCAAAAGGGAGGCTTTTCCTTTTTTCTATTCTTTTTTTTTTTTAGGGAGAAGGGGGTGTTTTGTCAACAGCCAACTAGGAATGCAGTTATTTCCTAAATGCGTGGTCTTACCTGCAAGAGAGCATAGACTTCAGGAATGCTTTCTATAAGCCCCTCGGGTAGCAGGATGACTCCGTGGTACTTATCTGTCCAAAAACATTTGGTCAGATGAAAAGTACTGCTAATCATTAATCACCACAAAGACAACAAAGATAGTAAGGCACGGATTCCATACCTTGTTCCGCCCGGGCTTGTACTGCATCACAAATCTGTTTTGTCAGGTCAAAAAGAGTAAGCTTTGATGCAGCCACCTCCTCACCAAGAATGACCTATAAAGAACAAATGAGAGGTTATGCAAGAAGAGAATCAAGCTTATCTAAAAGACGGCATCCTCTACAGCAACATCAATCAGAGTTACATAAGCAAGGACTGCAAACCATGTTTGGATGTGACTGGAGAGTGCATTCCAAAGCAACATGTGATGCCTTTCGTCCCATGAGTCGGACAAAGTAATAATACTGAAGACAAAAAGTAAATTACTAAGATTTTGTAAAAAAAAAGCATGGGAAAGGCNCTGGAGAGTGCATTCCAAAGCAACATGTGATGCCTTTCGTCCCATGAGTCGGACAAAATAATAATACTGAAGACAAAAAGTAAATTACTAAGATTTTGTAAAAAAAAAGGTAAAAACATACGGGAAAAAAAAAGCATGGGAAAGGTATGCAAAACAAAGGCAGCTGGGCTGCCAAATGCGTAACAGAATTGCTTGAAGTATGCAGGGTGATTAAGGCCAGCCTTGTCACTCCATCTTTGGCTAAAAGCAATTCAAAGAACCTAAAGTAAAATGCAAATGACATGGCTTACCCAGGAGGCTATAAATTTTTAAAAAATGGGGAAATTACCTTCTCTGCTGAAAGAGCATCTGTGCAGACATTGCTGATGAGCTGAGAATTAACCTAATAAGAGCCAATAAAATAATGTTATCAGATTCTTCTCAAAATCTTTCAAATGCATATAATCTCAGAATAACATCTTACAATTTCGGAATTTTTTAGTTGCGTTTTATATGAAAATACCATCCTTTGCTTTTTAGTTGCGTTTTACATGAAAATACCATCCTTTATTAAAGCAGCGGCACATAATCCAGCAAATTATATTTAACATTGGAGATAAAATGGGACGGGAAGNACGTTTTATATGAAAATACCATCCTTTATTAAAGCAGCGGCACATAATCCAGCAAATTATATTTAACATTGGAGATAAAATGGGACAGGAAGTCTAAAACAAGAAAGAATATGATGACGACAAAACTATAATTTCGTCTGATAATGAACCCCAAACCAAGAACAAACACAGTTCCAATGCATGGATTTTTCGCCAGCATCACCTTGTCAGTAATGCGGAGAAGAGGCAGAGAGACAAGTTGAAGTATGCATAACAATGTGAAGCAGGGTATAAGCCCAATTTAATGGTGAATCATCAAAATGTGGTTCGAGGATAATAACTTCAAAACACAGTACTTGCTTCACTACAAAATTCGATTCTTAACTGAAAAAAATACATGCAAGGCATTCAATAAGCTGTTGACATCACTGGACTAGTACCTTACATATGGTATCAAAACCAACATTTGTTTCAACAAATTGGTTTTTGAGATCTCCATTCAAAGTAACAGGAATCCCAACCACCTGCAAAATTTCAACCAATCAGGTTCTCCTGTTCTTAGTTCAGAAAGAAACTACACTGGCCTGACATTACAGAGGTGTCATGATAGCTTTATGTCCAAAACCAAAAGTACTGAGGACCAAAATAAACAACTTGTGAGAAACTTCAAATTTATATATAAATCGTCGAAAATCTAGACCATGTCTTCCTATATATTTCCAAATAACCCGACGTNCAAATAATTTCTACTTTGATATTCTTTGTACATACAACTGATAGCCAAAAGGTACTTCGATGAATCGAAGGATCCATTAGCCATTCATAGCGCACTGACAAAATTTATGATTATTTCATTTATTAATAATTGCTTTATGCGAAACTTAAATATAGGCATTGTCATACATACTGTCTAAGGAATTTTTCATCCAAGAGAGCACCATTTAATGCAAGAAGTCACATTTATAGAGGTTCTTACAAATTCAATGTTTCTCTGCCTCTTGCATTTGCACTAGAACTTCTGGTTGTGCTACAACACTTTTAAATGCTTGAAACCCAAAGTTCCAAAGTAGGAATCCCGAACTGGGACATTGACTTCGCATCTAAAGGCTGAAACCACCATAGTTCTTGATAAGAAATTTCAAATGCCACCGAAAAGACTCACAACTAGATGTGGAGCCAGGTTTTATGTAGGCAAGAACTAGCTGTAAGTCTGCGACTGCACCATAAAAAAAACTTCAGAAATTAGTATTAATTTAACATAAANTGTTCTTCCCAGCAAATCATAACCACCTTGACAGGATTATAGCATAAAATAAACTTTCCTGAAAATAAAAATCGCGATCTGAAAATTAAGTACTAGTAAGTCATAACTACCTTGATTTTTGTAGGTTGCAAGAATGTCATCAGTGATCTCAAGGGTCTTTTGTGCAAATATACCTTCAGAACCACCTGGTAGCAAGCATAAAAGACTTCTTTTAGATATCATCAAACTAAGGTTGGGCATAATGTGCTTGTGACGCAAAATGCAAGAAGAAAGTGTGATTTACTGATATGTAACAAGACAGCATCCTAATCATTGGCTAGGTGATAAGGAAACAAAACCAAATAAGAATGTGCAACAATGACTTTTTTTTCTAGATATGGGTGTGTGTAGGGGTGTCAATCGTGTCACGTTAAACGATTACGCGTCGGGTTAAACGGGTGACGGGTGAAATACGTATAAACCCATACACGAAACATTTAATAAACGGGTAAAAAATTTCAACACGAACACGACCCGTTTAATAAACGGGTCACAGGACATGACTCGTTTAACCCGTTTAATTTTAAAAAAATTATATCAACAAATTTTAATATTTTATTTTTTTTTACTAATAATTGCATTTACTTCAAAAAAGAGGAATTTTAAATCAAATCTCATAAAAATAAGACTTGAAGGCTTTAAAGAAAAAAGAAAGAGGCTATTGCCTTTTATAGGCAACTCACTCTCCCCATCTCCCCTCATTTTTCAATGTGAGACAAAAACAAAAGATATTAGTTTGCCTTTATCTTTAAAATGCTCTACAACTCCTCTCATTTGTCTTTGAAAAATAAAACTTGAAGGCTTTAAAAATAAAAGCAAGAAGCCATTGTCTTTTATAAGCAACTCAACTCTCTCCATCTCCCCTCATTTTCCAATGTGAGAAAAAAATAAAAGACATTTGTTTGCCTTTGCCTTTGAAGTGTATCCAACTCTTCTCCTTTGTCTTTGAATTACTACTTTACTTTCTTCTTTTTTTTATTAATTTCTTTACTTCTTTTTTCTTGCTAATTTTTTAAAATAATTATTAATTTATTATTATATTAATTTTATTTAAACGGATAAACGTGTGATAAATGGTTTGACAGGTCTCACCTGAACACGGCCCGTTTATTAAACGTGTTTGGCGTGTCAATCCGTTTATCATCCAAACCCGTTAAGATCTCACCCAAACCCGTTTAATTCGTGTCGATTAATCGTGTTGTGTCGAATTTTGACAGCCCTAGTTGTGGGCACATAGCCCAGTGTAGAGGTCCATGGTAAACAAAAAACTTCAAGCCAGAAGAGGAAAACAAAAATGCCACTAACCCAAAAATCCAAGCAAAGAACTGTTAGGGTTGTGAATCTTGAGAGCATTGTGAAGACCCCATATGACATTATGTCCTCCGGGAGATTGTCTACCACAAAAAACCACACCAACCCTAGAAAGAAGAAACTAAAAAATCAGCATACTTGGATGTATAACAAAAATATTGCGATTACGAAGAAATCCATCCCCAAGATGAGTTACACAAGTACAACGAGCCTAGAGGTAGCGATATTGCAAGCTATAGAGACCACTGCATCTGTAATGCAACAATTTCTCAATATGTCTGGCCCTTAAAGTGGATCATAATGCCAAAAGGAGAGTAAAGAATGTCAGTGCAATAAAACCGAGGACAAACCAGCTAAATTGACAATATAATATAAACTTCATGGGAGAGAACAGTTTTGGTTTCAATTTTGATGTTGCAGTGCTTGTTTTCTGAGTAAATTAAACGAAGCAAAGTCATTATCCAGTACATACCTAATTGCTGGATGCTCAGTAATTATCTGGGCATCAGGGACTTTGGCAGTTGCCCTAAGAAAGTGTGCTAAAGGCTGACCGTAAGTGTGTGGAAAAGACCGGCTTATGGTGTGGGCACCAAAGGAGTCTGCAGCAGTGGTTGCATCACCAAATTCTACACGGACAGTAGTCCCCTGCAAAATAACAATACACAAGTACAAGCTAGGTTAATAAGCAATGACATGGAGATAAAGAATAAAGAATCAATAACCCTACTTAGATGGGAATTATTAACCAAGAAGACCATCATCATGCTATTCTCTTTAAAAAATGAAGCATGGAACAAATGCTATGAACTACAAATGTATGAGGATAAATCGACTATGCATGGCCATCTCAGTAACAATGATAATATGTTCAAAATGGTATTGACTAATGTACAAAGAAAATGAGGAGCAATACAGAATATGTATATCATCTGTCTGAAAATTTACCCCAAAACCACACAAGGCGTTATTTCNGAAAGAAGAAACTAAAAAATCAGCATACTTGGATGTATAACAAAAATATTGCGATTATGAAGAAATCCGTCCCCAAGATGAGTTACACAAGTACAACGAGCCTAGATGTAGCAATATTGCAAGCTATAGAGACCACTGCATCTGTAATGCAACAATTTCTCAATATGTCTGGCCCTTAAAGTGGATCATAATGCCAAAAGGAGAGTAAAGAATGTCAGTGCAATAAAACTGAGGACAAACCAGCTAAATTGACAGTATAATATAAACTTCATGGGAGAGAACAGTTTTGGTTTCAATTTTGATGTTGCAGTGCTTGTTTTCTGAGTAAATTAAACGAAGCAAAGTCATTATCCAGTACATACCTAATTGCTGGATGCTCAGTAATTATCTGGGCATCAGGGACTTTGGCAGTTGCCCTAAGAAAGTGTGCTAAAGGCTGACCGTAAGTGTGTGGAAAAGACCGGCTTATGGTGTGGGCACCAAAGGAGTCTGCAGCAGTGGTTGCATCACCAAATTCTACACGGACAGTAGTCCCCTGCAAAATAACAATACACAAGTACAAGCTAGGTTAATAAGCAATGACATGGAGATAAAGAATAAAGAATCAATAACCCTACTTAGATGGGAATTATTAACCAAGAAGACCATCATCATGCTATTCTCTTTAAAAAATGAAGCATGGAACAAATGCTATGAACTACAAATGTATGAGGATAAATCGACTATGCATGGCCATCTCAGTAACAATGATAATATGTTCAAAATGGTATTGACTAATGTACAAAGAAAATGAGGAGCAATACAGAATATGTATATCATCTGTCTGAAAATTTACCCCAAAACCACACAAGGCGTTATTTCTGTTTGTTCTCATAGACCAACAAGAGTGTAAAATCCAGACATTTGAGTATGAATATAGCATCTCAAATAATGTATTTGTGATTCTTGCAAACACAAAATCATCATTTTCATTTTTGCTCTGTCTTAATTTGCTAGCAATTCTTCTTGATCCTCATACAATACATACATGTCTAAGATTTAGAATTGAGAGAGTGCCACAATGTGCTAAAGTTTTATTTCTTCTGTGACAATTACACGTCAGAGACAGTAAAGTACATAACAAGCAGCATTGATGATTTCAACCCATAGAATCATGGAAGTTCATTTGATCCAAATCTTCACTCTGTTTTACTTTAGTATTTCAGATGACGTCATCAAAATCATTGGCCGAAATGTACGCTAAGAACTCACAAGACGAGTGGTAAACCAAGTCTTATAAGCTGGGTTCAAATTTTGGTGGTTAAGCAGAATGTAGCAAACGGACGTTTCTTATGCATAATTCCTTACACTATATCCAGTCAGAACATCCGAACGGCAAATACAAGGATATATAGACATGCTATATCGCTTTGCTCTGAACTTGAGCTGATCTGGTCCGCAAAACAAAATCCAAATAAACAATAAGGAAATCTGAGACAGTACGGCATAAAACAAGCGATGTAACACGTCAGATCTAATTTCTGCATGCTAGCTAGCTTATGGATGGATTAGTACAACACTCAATCAACTAGGAAAGCATTGAAGAACAAAAGTCTTTTAATAAATCAATCTCGAAGGCTGCTTGACGAAAACAAATACATAGATGAGCGAAAGGCGAAGATTGGGGCTGAAGCGGCTTAAACGAACAAGATAACGTCAATGCCACTATACAGAACAGCGGATTAACAGTATACAGGGGTTGGGAGGGAGGGGGGAGAGCAACAGAATGAAACAGAGCAAATCGCAATTCCAAGGGAAACGAGAAGGAAAGATAGTAGAGAGACCTGAAGACAAGGGGGGAGCTCTGGTTGGTACTGAGATCGAAGCTTTTGGAGATCGGACAATTCTCTCGCTATCCCAAAATCTGAATCCATTGTTAGCTCTCTTTGTTCGGTCGGTCGTTCGTTCGTTCTCTCTGTGAACTCTATTTTCACCTACCTACACACCGTTGTGTTGTGCTCTCTCTCGCTTGATAGGGGCGTTCAGATAGATAGGAGGGCGATACAACCAAACCAACCATGCCACCTGCCGATGTGAAGTGACCCAACTACCCTCTGGCTTAATCGATAATGGCATCACCTGATCATAAATTATTATGATTACATTTACATTTATGTTAGATTATTAATTGAATTTCATGAATTAATTTTGTCACAAATAAATATTCAATTTTTTCAAAATTTAGTACATGTGCACATCACCAAAGTTTAGTATAATATTTTCCAATAAAATATTATACATTCTTAATAAATATTATTTATCTTTTTTTTTTGATATAATTTTTTATTAAATTTGCACGTCGCTTAAAATTTACTCTTTTCTCTCTCACACTCCCTCTCTCTTTTTTTTTTTTTTTTTTGATGTGGACATAGTGATTAGGAGAGAGACCATGGCAGTGGGCCATACCCACTAGACTCCCTCACCTAACCCTCTTTTCGCATAGTTCAAGTTGGTTTTTAGGTGGGCTTTTTGTCTCACAAGCGGATACCGACGAGTTTACTTATGTAATGCAATCGCTCAATTCATTTTAATTGCGTGCAGGATTTTGTATAATATAAATACGAGAATAGATCTCTTTCGTGATGAACACGGGTTACTAGGGTGGTCCTGTAAAGCTAAGAGAGATTCCTGGAACAGAGAAAAATGAGTTAGGAGGACGCCACAGTGTTTTTCGACGTATCCCCTCCGACGATCAAGTCAGTTCTTTGAAAGAGGGAAAGAAGAAAATACTGTGTATAAATTTGAAAAAAGGTTTTTGCATATCTCGTCATGCGTTTTATGAGGAGTATTTATACCTAAAAAACTCATGATTGCTGTCAGTACGGTCAGTAGGTGATCATTAGAAGTGGGTAACGTGCACACTAGTTTTTAGGAGAAATGACCTCTTCCTTAACTGCTCGGGACCCCGAGCAATCCAATGCATCACCCTCGGTCTGTTGAGCGTTTAATGACCTTCACTCGGCAGGGATATATTAAATGCTCAGTCGCAGGAACATTCATTGTCTTTCACTTTCGAGTCTTCACACATTAAATGATGTCTCATCAAGGAAAAAGTGCATTAAATACTTACTTTTCCAAGTCGTGTGTCAGCAAGGGGCATTCTGGTCTTTTTGACTCTGATCTGACACAGTACGCCACGTGTCAGCTCCCCTTTGGTTGAGTCTTCTGTTTTCCTGTACGTCCTGACACCATCTAGGTAAGACCAGGTCATGATGGCTAATCTAGCCTAGCCCAGGCTGATGACCTGTCTATCAATAACCCTGCAGGAACAGAACACCGATGTAGTGGGTACACCTCGATGCCGAGGGCCTAGTACGGTTAGGGGCCGATGTACCCCCCAAATTCGACCGATAAATACGTGTCGCCCCGTACATACCGGCATCGTAGATCTTTATGCATAGTACCCTCCTCGGGGGAAGAGGGATCATGATCCGACGAGCACGTGTCATGATTACAACAGAGAGTATTTATTTGACACCGAGTATACGTGTCGCTATCTTGGAGTATCCATAAAATATCTCATCAACTGCCCCCAGCCTTCGATCTTCTGACGCCGAAAATACTCGTTGTAAGGAGACGAAGGGTTTTACAACTACCTCAATCACTTCATCATTGCCTCTAGTCGCTTTCCCCTGCTTAGGAGGTCGCGCGCATTAAATGCATCTCTTCGTGCTTCGTGCCCAATGATGGGGATGAGTACTATATAAACGGACTCTCTCTCTCTCTTCCCCACACTTTTGCTATTTCGAACTCAGAGAGCTTTCGCCTAAAAACTTCATCGGAGACCCCCTTTAGTCACGTCGTCTACCAGTCAGTCATCACCGGAGTTTAGTCCAACAAACACCCTCTTGCTTCTAAACCTTCTGGAGAGAGGAACAACTCCGATCCCTCTAGAAACCTTCGTTCGCGTTCTGGTGAGTCCTTGTATCTCCCTTCTTTTCGTCTTTCTAAGTTTATTTTTTTATTCCCCGATAACCGGAGGTGTTCCTGGTTGTCATTGTGTGACCAACCTTCAGGAAACCCCTAGGGGATCTTAGTTAAAAAAAAAAAAATTGTCCTTCCTCTTTAGTTTTTATCTTCTTTGGAGATGCCCCAACGTTGGCCTATCACCGAGGATCCTCAGGCCAGTTCCTCGAGGCCAGGGAAGTACAAAGTGAAGGGAGAGAAGTAGATTAATAGGTTTAGGGCTCGATACCACATTCCTCCAAACGTAGGTATAGATGAGTACGACCCAGTTTTGCATAACCGTACTATCGGGGGCCGAGAATGAGATGTCATTTTTCACCAAGGCAATCATAAAGGGTGGAATTAGATTCCCCCTACCTCCTATACTCCTCCAGTTCCTTGCCCATTTCAAACTCTTCCTAGGGCAGTGTTGCCTTAACGTATTTAGGATAATAATGGGGGTCTTAGAGCTTAACAACTGTCTCGGGGTAAACGTTGGGCTCAACGATATCCTTTTTTGCTACTCCCTGTTGAGAGTCATGCCTCAGCAGAATTTCTACCTCAAAGCTAGGGATCCCTCCATATACCTTGTAACTCACCTCCCTGACTCGAACAAAAGATACAAGGATGGCCTTCTGATCTTCAATGGATACTGGCAGCAGGGGACCGGTCCTGAGTACAGTGGCCTGATGTGCCCTTTTGAATGGAGAACGACAAGTAGGTTGGCTTCTCCGAGTCTACTATTTTTGTTCTTAGGATTTTTTAGAAGTGTTAATAACATTCTTTCTTGTGCAGACGTCCCTGCCCGGGAAGTTGCCCCTCCTCCTCGGTCTTTGGTAAACTTTGCTGACCTTGTCACTGTTTGGAGATTTGTTGGCGACGACGGGTTCGGCGGGGCTACTCACATCCTCTTGAACTACACTCTTGGGTATAAAAAGTTCTTATAGCTCCCCCAGCCTTTCGAGCCTTCGCGGTGGTCTGAACTCTTCGATCAAGCTACGTAACAAGAGGCCGAAGAGAACTTGGAGGAAGACCCCGACGGGGCTACCGAGGCGGAAGTAAAGGGTGTCCTTGAAGTTGAGGAGTTCGGGGCCAGAGAGGCTTTGGTTCCTTCGCACGCTGAGGTGGGGACTTTAGGGAGAGATTCGTGGTCTGACTTCCACATCCTTCAGTCCCTAGACGCAGAGGACGCCTTCAAGGTAGCCATGTCGCACATGCCTCACATCGACCTGGGATTCTTGAGGCAGAGGCAGGCCCTTGCCGCCGGGAGAGGACGGGGGTCAACCAGTAACACCTCATCAACAAGTACCAGCACCAACCCCCCGCCTCCGAGGCCCACTGGTCAGGGTCAAGTGCAGGATCGAGATCCTTAAGTCGAGGAGGAGAGAAGGACCAAGCAAAGACACAACGGCCCGGGCAAGGGATCTAGGGCCCCCTCCGCTCAACAGCCAAATGGGAGAGGTCGTGGGTTACCCCCTTCACCCCAACAACAACAGCCGCAGCAAAGGCAGTAACAAAAGCAACAGCGGCAACAGCAGCAGAGGCGGACTCCAACTCCCTCTCCGCAGACGGTAGAAGCTGCAGAGTGGAATCCTCAGGCCACTGATCATATAAACCGGGTGATCAGGGTCGATGATTTCATTCTGCAGGACCCCCATGTCGCCAACGCAGTGAGCGAGACGCTCCATTTCGAGGCTGACATGGAGGCTCATAGGGGGCGGACAACGAACACGTTATTCCGTTCCATCATTCAGAATTCCGTAGTGGTAAGTTCATCTTTGCTTCAATCTTTTCTTGTCGTGTTACTTTTAATTGACAAGTTCTTTCCTTCATAGGCCACCCAACAGATTTTCATAATTGTTGCACGATATCATACAGCTAAGATGGACCTTCAGCCGATCCAAGAACATAAGGAAGAAGCTGAGGGAGCCCTGGCCAGTGCTAAGGAGGATGTAGCTGCCAGGGACTCCACCCTCGCGGGACAGGCTGCTCAGATTGAGCAACTCCTCAAGGATAGCGAATTGGCGAAGATCGGCGCTGAAAAGCTAAGTACTGCCTTGGCCGACGCTGAGAAAAGGATCACGCAGCAGACGCAGCTGCTCTCTATGATAGAGGAGAGGGCAGTAGGGTCAGAGGAGAACTGTCTGGCTCTAACCCAATAGCTGGACAGGATCAGGGCTGAGGCAGAGAACAGGAAGTCCGAGAGGAGTTTGCCGACGACGTGCTGCCTGCCCTCGAGGAGAACAACAAGGAGTTATTCAAGAAGGGGTGGGATGAGGCGCTCTGGGCTGTTGGTGTTCTTCTAGACTCCTCATTCTTCCAGATGCACCGTTACGTGCCATCAACAAAGATGACGCAGGCCGAGGCTGAGATTGCTGTCGAGAGTGCAACTCCAACGCCGACGTAAATTTTGGCAGACCCGCCCGAGGTGGTGATTGGTTCCATCCAACGAGGTTCTGTCGGACTTAGCCCCCGACCACAATATTCCTCAGACTCTTCCTACTGCTGATTTAATCCTAGCTCTACCTGCTCTCGAAGCTACTCAACCCTTTTGCGTTGATTCGCCTTGTAGCAATGAGTTGGAGATGCCCGGGTCAAATGAAAACTTTTTTCTTTCTTTGAACTGTACTTTTCTCTCTTGTAGCTCTCGAGGATGCAAAGCCCCTCTTTTGAAGTGAAGCTTACTTTTTATGAGTACTTGCATTTCATTACGTGCATTTTCTCTCTTTTTTTTTGTTTGAAAGACCTTGATAGCTCCGACACCTGGGGAGCAATTTGGCTGGCCCGCCTGATTGGTTCAGTTTCATCATTGCTAAGGATTGTACGCACCTGCGGGGTCTCACCCTTTGTGGAAGTTTATTCCTTCTTTTCATTCGGAGGCAGGAGTCTTTGAACTCTGTCTCTAGGGACTTATCATTCTAGGAGACTT